AAAAAAATAAGTTATAATTGTGCAGCACATAAGGGCCATGCGCTTTTCGAACAATCGTAGAGACTGTCGATTAAGGCTTTAAAAGGAGCCTGAAATACTGCGGGAAGAGTCGTGGCTTGACTGTTCAAAAAATATGCGGAAGGTCTTGAGGTTTCGACGGATCGACTACCACAATTGGGAATTTCCGATTGCTCTGGGGTTATAAATGGAAGATTTGAAGATCCTAAATTTGAATTGCTGGACTAGATTACATGATCATCGATAGCAACGATCGTATTAGAAGAGATCGAGGTTGACGTGACGTTCTGATGAGACGTCGACATTATAATCACGAGCGTGGCATATAAGGTGAGTCAAATTACGGGATGCACGGATAATCAGCACTGCATACCGGCAATCAGTGCAAGGGACGGCTGTGGTAAAGCGATCAGAAGGGTTATGGGGTGGATTATCAAACAACGTAGGATATCCAAAAAACACACAGAGCCGGACTGCCGACTTACGGAGAGGGTACCCCGATACCGTGTCGTGTCAACCTTAGGTCTCACCTTGTGTACTCGTCGTCTTGGATGGTCTTGCTCCCCGGTTAACGCAGAAGACTTAAAGACTTGGTCTTTGTATAAGACTTGTACTTGGTGGTCCTTGAATGGATATACTTCACTCGGGCCCGTTTTCTTGTTCTCGATGGACTGTGTCGAGAGCAATGCACTGGTACTATGTACCCCTTTTGGTGGCTAAAAGTTCTTGGTCTTTGGACCCCTTTTTGTTCCTCCCCGTAGGGAAACCGTGTGGTGAAGTGCTGTTGCTGTGATGTGGGGGTCCCAGAATCCAGTGAATTCGGAGTATAGACCGTGGGTCAGAGACAGGAGACCAGAGAGACAGGGGCCTCAAAGGGGAGCGACTGTTGGTGGAGAACAATCCGCAGGACCCACAAAAGAAAAATCAGTATCAGGGTACCGGTTAACTGGTACCGAAGGGAGTTGATCATGGCCCTTCATTAATCGACCTGGCCCCTCGTTGGTAGAACAGGGTCCCTCATTGGTAGACCATGGTCTCTAATTGGTCGATCCGGTCCCTCGCTGGTAGACCATGGTCCCTCATTGGTCGACCCGGTCTCTCGTTGGTAGACCTGGATCCCTCGTTGGTCGACCCGGTCTCTCGTTGGTAGACCTGGATCCCTCGTTGGTCGACCCGGTCCCTCGCTGGTAGTCTTCGGTCCCTCATTGGTCGACCCGCTTCCTCGTTGGTAGACCTGGGTCCCTCATTGGCCGATCTGGATCCCTCGTCGGTCGACCACGACCCCTCGTCGTTCATTCACTCCGGACCAGTTAATACCAGGATCAGACCAGTCGCCGCAAGGATTCAGAACTTCAGACAAGGATAGATTAAAGAAGCTAAAAGGATAGGACTATATTAGATACTACTAAACTTGTGATCTACTTGGCAAGTCTTCGTCGCGCTTTAAAGGAACTAGAGTCTGGTCACACGCCTGCTCCGAAAAAGGGATATATTTGGCCTTCCTGTTGAAGAAAGGTGTGTGGTTAGACTCAAGTGCGAGCTGAACCCCACGTGGCACGACTTCGTCGTCCAAAAGAACTTGCTCTAAGTTACTCACTGTTCCGGGAAGGGATATATTTTGGCCCCCCATATAGTCTAAATATTGACCCCGAAGACTTGTTCGTTGCCGCACGCCACCAATCGAGTCTTCAGCCGCTTGAGGAAGCCGTGTGCATCGGTCTTCGTCTTGAGACCCATTTCGTATGAAGTGCGTTGCTACCTGGCGGTCGCTTTGATTAGCGCCACACGCCATTTTCCTCAAGAGCTTGGAGCTCCTCTAGCATGGTTATTACAGCGTTTTCGCTTGGAGCTGCGCAGTGCTTCCCCATAAATCTTCGGGTCACGCTCGTACACGTGCGCCGCCACGCATTCTCCCAAATCTGGCTCCTCCTGATCTCCTGACGCCTGCGCGCACCTCGTCGAGAGGCATGTCTAATGAGCTGCACGTGTCCACGGCTTTGACTTCATTGTTCCGTCTCGTCCGTGCTGCAGCCTCTCCCGCCGCCGATTTCGTCGTCGGTATCGCTTAAGGCGTCGTCATCGCTGCGTCAGGTGTCGCTGTCGTGGGAGGCTGATCATCATACTCGAGCGCGCGGCAAAGCTGAGTATTCTGTTCTGCGATGAGCGTTTTTATATTGCGCACGTGCTGCGTGGCCGTGACCTTGTTCTCCTTTTGAGGAACACACTGTAGCCTTTCGTCTCGTCACTGAGCCCGATGATGACGCCGACCTGCGCGTGTTGCGCTAGCGAGTTCTCACCTGGCCCTCGCATAATCAATCAGCTCGAGCCAATGGCGACGATAGCGAGTAGGTCTATAGCGTGCTTCGTCAGTACTTTATCGGCGACGCGCGCTATGGATTTGCGTTTGTCGAACTGCAATTCAGTATATATGTTGCATACTTGACCGCGTCTTCCCAGAACGACACTGGTTGGGGTCTGGCGAAGACATGTTGCGCGCCAAATTCAAGACCGTCCTATGCATGTAAATGTTCTTTACGTTTGACGATGTTTCCTCGCCTCGCTGATTGCCGTTCTACGCCTGTCGACTTGCATATAAAGGTCGACGTTCTCATACTCTCCTCCACCATCTGTACGAAGTAGGAGGATACGACCTATCAGGTGAACTGACGCTCAAGAAAGCTAGGAAGTTCTCGAACTTCTTTGCTGCATTGTCCTACGTCGGAGCAAGGAAGATGCGACAGTATTTCGACTTATGGTCGATGAAGCGGACGAGATATCGGTTATAAAGTCGTTCCTTTGGCATCGTTGGTCCCTTGAGGTCCGAGCAGACTACAACTCCAATTTGATAAATGGGGAGCTCGCGCCATTGTCCTCCGCGACATGGAATTCACCGTCTGTTTGCTTGAAGCGCACGAGGTGGACTTCGGGCGCTTGGTGTATGTGAGCTAGATGCTGGAAGCTGGGTCTTTGTTCATCTTCTTGACGGTACCGTACGCTAGATGCCCGAGTCGTTGATAGAAGTGTGGGAGCGACCCGCTCTGCATGTTGGTATCCTTCTCGCCCGTGGGTCTTCTCGTGTCAAGATTGTTATCAGCACGTCACTTGGCGTTTATGGCTCGCATGCCGCTGCCACCGTCCTGACGTATAGTACGTTGCACTCCATCGACACGTCGACTGCGACTTTGCCATTATTGCGTCTTGCCAGGACGCGCGTCGCCCCATCGTACACAAGAACGAAGACCTTTCGCTCGAGCTTGACATTCGACATAATAAATAGCTCTGGTGCGAGGTAGGCTTCCGTCAGTGTCACGTCGTCCTGCCTGCACTTTGCTACCACTGTCAACACCACACTGTCGTCCCTCGACAGCTTGATCGTCTCGCCGTTAGCGAGGTGGCAGCCTTGTTCACAGTCCCGAGGTTCCTGCAGCAGTAAAGAATCATTGACGAGGTGGCGTCTGGAAACGCTGTATAGGACCCAGTCGTTAACTTCGTCGTCGCTGGCGTCACCAATTGTCAATGCCAGGTAGTCCCTGGTAGCGCATAAGCCGTTACTGCCAGTGTCCTGACCACGTCGAGCACCGTGCTGGTAGCGCTCCTGCCTCGACGGCCGCCGTTGGTGTCGCCAGTCTTCTTGCTGCGATAGTCGGCCTTGATGTGCCCCACCTTGCCACATATAAAGCAGGTGCACGTCTCCTTGCGTGACTCGGGCTCGTACACGTGTGCAATCACCTCTCCTTTCCGAAGGAGCGACCCGATAGAGCTTCCATCTTGATGGCTTGGGCGAAGAAACTGCTCCTCCGCGTGCATGAGATAGTCGACGCGGTGCGTTTAATACTTTGTCATGAGTATCTTCGACAGCCTAGGTGACGCGTACCCAACGATGTTGTCGAGTACTTGCTGCTTGTCGCTTCCCGCAGCGTCAATAAAAGCCACCAGGTAGAGGTAATGCTCTGCCCATGAGGTGATTGCTGTCTTTCTTCATCCTAAAGAGCTTCATAAATTGTACAGCAGTGGTCGTCTACTTTGAACGTGCCGAGCATGCGTTACATCACGTACAACATCGTCCTTACACACCCACCACACGAGTCTACTTGCTTGTTGATGTAGCGCTCAGCGGTGCTAGTGATATACTGGCCGAGCACGCCGGTCTTGACGTTCTCGTTCCACAAAGGACCACACGACTCCTGCGCACCGAGCACCGAGCTGAACAGCCTGCTATCGTCGGCATTGCGCATTCGCTCGTCTTCGTCGATCCTTGCTTGTGACGCTTTCATCCTCCGCATCCTTCGTATCCTCAGATTCATCCCGGACAGCATCTTGAATACCTTTGCCAGTGCTTCGGAGTCCGCGCTCCGTGCGTGAGCGGAAGGACTGACGACCGCAGCAGGCTCCGACGCGGCCCTTTCGTAACCGGCGGTGCCTGTGCCGCGCTGTTGTCGTCGTTACTCTTGTCATTGGGCTCATAACCTGTTCGTCAGCGATAGCGTTAGGAATAGCAGTCCTAGGCACTGTGATAAAAAAAAATCGGTCATTATCCTTATACATGCACTTACCCGCTCCTCACTCCTTATCGTTCCTGTCTACTCAATTTACACTTGGCCCAAATCCAGTTGTACTTAGTATGGTGAATACAAATGCTAAGTCAGTGACCGTCATTCCCATCACCCCGCACCTTCCACGCGCAGTCGTACTTAAGGCGGTGTCCATGTCTAACTGCAAAACCATGTCGGGAGTTCTTAATAAAGCAACATCTTCATTGGTCAGTTAAGGCATGGAGACCTTGAAAAAGAACGGAACAAGTAGCAGCTTGTTCGCCATGAGAAGCAACATGAAAAAGTGGAAAAAAGTATGACATTAAGTTAGAAGGCAATAATGCAAAGTTCAAGCAGAGACGAATGATGTGCTTCTAAACCCTGACATGGTTTCACGCAACAAAGACCATCATTTACTGTGCGTTTGAAGGTTTGCTCGCTTTTGATCATTTACGATTGGTCCGGAGCACCCACAATAAAATAATCGCTTGAGTCACTATTTTCAGTCTTCACGGCATAATCCTGTGGTCTGTAGTCGTACGCGAAGCCGCCATGGTACGTAAGATCAATCCCGTTCACCTCGTTATCTTCATCCACACGAAGACCAATCGTGATCTTTATCAGGTACAGGATGATAATCGTTACTACGAATGAGTAAGCCGCAGCTACGCACTGAGAAACCAATTGGTGCGTGAATTGGGCACCATTGCCGTAGAAGGCACCACCCTTGATGTTCGGGTTGACGTCTGACGTAGCAAACAGACCTGTCATGAGACCGCCCATGACACCAACACAGCCGTGGATAGCGAACGAGTCAAGGGTGTCGTCGTAGCGCAGGTGGTTCTTCATGTGAATAGCAGTGAACCCCGTGGCGGCACCAACTACGCCGAAGGTCACCGATGCCCACGGATACACATAACCACAAGCGGGGGTGATAGCAACCAGACCAGCCACAGCACCAGTAGCAGCTCCACAAGGATCAAACTTGGTAGACATGACAAATTCCAGACATACCCACGTCAAGAATCCCGCACTCGCTGCTAAATGAGTATTAATAGCAGCTGTGGCAGCGATTCCGTCAGCAGCACCTTCCGAACCGGCGTTGAAGCCAAACCAGCCGAACCACAACAGAGTTAGACCAATCATCACTAACGGCACGTTGTGGGGCTTGACTGGTTCTCCGTGGTTGTATCGCTTTCCGACCATAAGAGCAGCCGCAAGGGCTCCAAATCCACTCGAAATGTGGATAACGGTGCCTCCCGCAAAGTCAAGTGATCCCATCTTGCCCTCCCAACCCATCGCGGTAATCGCCCACGAGTCATCGAGCTTGAGCGACCACATCCAGTGAGCCAATGGATCGTACACCAGTGATGTCCACAGGAAGATGAAAAGCAAAAACGATCCATATTTCATGCGCCCCACAATACCGCCACTGAGTAGCGCAGGACTGATCATGGCGAATTGCGTCTGGAAGAAGGCAAATAAAGTGTGAGGGATTTCAGTGTCGTATGTGCCGCTGGGGGACTGCCCCACATTATTGTACCCGCTCCAAACAAAAATACCGTTGGATCCGAAAGCTGTCGAGTATCCGAAGGCCCAGAATTGAATGGACACAAGGGCCATGCTCACGAACGACATCATGATGGTGTTGGACGCCATTTCTTCACCGGCAAGACCAGCGTAGAAGAAGGCGACGCCCGGTGTCATGATCATCACTAGAGCGCTAGCTATTATCATCCACGCTGTGTTACCCGAATCAATTATCTGGTCGTAGTTACTTTGAGCCTTTTCACCTCGGCTCGCGTAGGCAACGCATTCGCCAGTGGTCTTGTCCAAGAACTGCGACGTCAGACACGAGGTGTTCTGGGCAGTAATAGGGGTGGCTAGGGCCATAGCTAGAGCTGCGAAAATAACTACGCGTGCTAGCGGAGTCATGACTCTGTAGATGTTTCAGCTAGAATCTATGCAAGTCAATTCCGAAGTGAGCTTGTCCTGCTACACACGCAACCCATTGCTACGAACGACAAGCACTGTACTTGGCAAAAGAGTGGAGATGATCGCGTTAGCGGATCTGATTGATTACGACACCACAAATCAGCAAAGCGGAGCTGACCAAACAATTTGTTTCACATAAAGGGACCAGGATGAATGTTTATGGCGTGTTTACGCTTCTACATCAAAGCTCTTGATCTATCTTGGGTTGGGGGGGGGTAATCTTCCAGTGCGATATCTTAGTAGGTCGAAAATTCCTCTAAGGTAGACAGCGAAAACGCCAAATTTGAGATGAGAAGCCGACAACTTTAATACTCGTGAGCCATACAAAACCGTTTGAGCTGGAGAGTTTGTTCCGGTACAACTAAACAACTTCAGTTCACGGCTTGTGTTTGAGTATAAAACCGACCTTTGATTTTCTCCCTACGTATGCAATATAGACAATTAAATCCCTTGGTATCTTCCCAACGTTAATCGATGGGTGGTATTCTCGCTTAAGCATTCATAATGAGCTCCTTCTGCGCAACCTCTTGGACAGAACGCGGTGACATCATAGCGGCAAAGTCACCCACTGGCGGGTTGGCAGCCTTCACAGTTGGGCCGGTGTGGTCTTGGCCGCTGTAATCGTAGGCAAGACCCCCGTGATACGAGACGTCAATGCCGTTTACCTCTTTGTCCTCGTCCACACGGAGTCCAATCGTAATCTTCAGCACGTACAGAATAATTATCGTCACCACGAACGAGTAAGCTGCAGCCACGCACTGTGAAACCAGCTGGTGCACGACCTGCATACCATGGCCGTAGAACGCGCCGCCTTCAATGTTTGGGTTTACGTCCGATGTAGCAAATAGACCAGTCATGAGACCACCCATAAAACCACCACAGCCGTGAATGGCGAACGAGTCAAGTGTATCGTCATATCGCAGGTGGTTCTTCATGTGAATAGCAGCGAAGCCCGTCACGGCGCCTACTACACCAAAAATGACAGCAGCCCACGGGTACACATAACCACAAGCGGGGGTGATAGCAACCAGACCAGCGACAGCGCCACTAGCAGCTCCACAAGGATCGAACTTCTTGTACATAGCAAACTCAAGTCCAATCCACGTCAAGAAGCCTGCACTAGGAGCAAGGTGAGTGTTGATAGCAGCCGTGGCAGCGATTCCGTCAGCAGCACCTTCCGAACCGGCGTTAAAGCCAAACCAGCCGAACCACAGCAACGTCGCACCAATCATCACTAACGGCACATTGTGGGGCTTGACTGGGTCGCCGTGGTTGTATCGCTTTCCGACCATAAGAGCAGCCGCAAGGGCTCCAAATCCACTCGAAATGTGGATAACGGTGCCTCCCGCAAAGTCAAGTGATCCCATCTTGCCCTCCCAACCCATTGCGGTAATCGCCCACGAGTCATCGAGTTTCAAAGACCACATCCAGCGAGCCAATGGGTCGTACACCAGTGACGTCCACAGCAGAATGAAGAGCAAGTAGGAGCTAAACTTCATTCGACCAACAATGCCACCGCTCAGCAGAGCTGGAGTAATGGTTGCAAATTGAGTTTGAAAGAAGGCAAACAAAATATGAGGGATGCCAGTGCCATAGGTACCACTTGGAAACTGCTCTACATTGCCAAAGCCCGCCCACCCAAAAATGCCGTTGGATCCGAAAGCTGCCGAATACCCAAAGGCCCAAAATTGGATCGACACGAGTGCAATGCTCACAAACGACATCATCATGGTGTTGGACGCCATGTCCTCGCCAGCAAGACCGGCATAGAAAAATGCAACGCCCGGTGTCATTATCATCACCAGAGCGCTAGCCGCCAGCATCCACGCCGTGTTGCCCGAGTCAATGGCCGTGTCAAAGTCCGTACTGGCCTTCACGCCTTGGTTTTTATAGTTGACGCATTCGTTTGTGTCGGTGTCCAGGTACTGCGACACCAGACACGTCACAATTGAGCTTGAGCGACTCTGCGCAGCGACGGCGGACACGAGCAGTGCTACAGCCAGCATTAATCGAGTCGTCCCGTTCATCTTTTAACCGTTGTAATCCCTTGAGAGCGAAATTTAAAATGAATGAACAAGTAACATACTCGAGTTGCAGTATATGACAATGCACAAAGCGACAGGGGCGAGTACTCGTGATGCGATAGAGAGGATATAGACCCTCTTTTTGCAGATGATCCAAGTCGTTTACGGACCAGCTGTTACCAGCACAAAACCGGAGCTTTTTGCTGTCGATTAGGTGGACATTTCATGATGGGAACCAATCAATACTTGTTACGTCGAGGTCGTCATCAGCTACTCTAAGAAATAAAATTCTATGACACATCCACAGTAAATATAGGTTTATAAGGTTGCTCAAAAATAGATTACTTCGCTATAACTTTCGTATACGCTTCGCAGGTACTTTAACGAGAGAACTATACCTACACATGCATGATCGGCTCTTTACTGCACGGGACAGAGGAGTCGGACTGTACCGGAATGATGATTTTGGAAAAACCTCGTTGAGGCGGATGAATCTCATTGTAGTTGGACGAGCTCGAGAGCGAGCTGTGCGTAGTGAGTTCGTACGCGAGTCCCCCATGGTACGAAACGTCCATGCCATCCACTTCCTTGTCTTCCGAAACTCGCAAACCAATTGTATACTTGAGCACCATCAGGATCAGAAACGTCACCACTACTGAGTATCCAGCCGCCACACACTGTGAAATGAGCTGGTGCACAAACTGCACTCCATAACCGTAGAAGGCACCACCCTCGATAGCAGGGTTGACGTCTGAAGTAGCAAACAGTCCAGTGAGCAGACCACCCATGAAGCCGCCGCAGCCGTGAATACCGAACGAGTCGAGGGTGTCATCGTAGCGAAGATAGTTTTTTAAATGCACAGCACCAAAACCCGTAGCAGCACCAATGACACCGAAGATGACAGCGGCCCATGGATACACATAAGCACAGCCAGGGGTTATTGTCACAAGACCCGACACTGCGCCGCTGATTGCACCACATGGGTCAAATTTGCGGTATAGGACAAATTCTAGCGACGCCCAGGTTACAAACCCTGCGCAAGATGCCAAGTGAGTGTTAATGGCAGCGGTCGCAGCAATTCCATCAGCTGCGCCTTGCGAACCAGCATTGAAACCAAACCAGCCAAACCAAAGCAGCGTAGCACCGATCATCACAAGGGGTACGTTGTGTGGTTTCACAGGATCTCCATGGTTGTAGCGCTTGCCGACCAAGATTGAAGCGACAAGAGCCCCAAAACCGCTCGAGACGTGAACGACAGTACCTCCAGCAAAATCGAGAGAGCCCATTTTGCCCTCCCAGCCCATGGGGGTAACTTCCCAGTTCTCGTTGAGTTCACGTGACCACATCCAGTGTGCTAATGGGTCGTAGACAAGTGATGACCAAAGAAGTACGAATAACACAAATGTTCCAAACTTCATGCGGCCAACGATGCCACCACTAAGCAGCGCAGGCGTGACAACAGCGATCTGCGTCTGGAAGAATGCAAACAGGATATGCGGAACCCCGCCACCATACACGCCGCTGGCGACTCTTCCGACATTGTTGTATCCTGCCCAGGCAAAAAGGCCATCGGAACTGAAGCACACCGAGTACCCGAAGGCCCAAAACTGGATCGACACTATTGCTATACTCACAAACGCCATCATCATGGTGTTTGACGCCATTTCCTCACCGGCAAGTCCAGCGTAGAAAAACGCGATGCCAGGGGTCATGAGCATTACCAATGCACTAGACATGAGCATCCACGCCGTGTTGCCGGAGTTGATGGGTATATCATGGGCATTGCCAGCTTTTTCACCTCGGGAAGAATAAATGACGCACTTGTTAGTAGTGGCGTTGAGGTACTGTGAGATATCGCAGGTGGTGGTGGACCCGAAAGTGTCTTGGGCCGATACGGCGAGTGCGGCGAGTACAACGATTGCGATAACCGTACACTGAGTCCGAATGAGTAGGTTTTTTTTTCGTAGGATGATCATGACTGTTACGATAAGAGAAAAGGAAGTTTGTGGACCAGGATGCTGGTAAAATTGGTAAGTGAGAGTTCTGTACGACTCGCATCAATGTCACTCTTAGCCGTTGTTGGTAGCTGCACGTGACTCACACCTCATTTATGCGTACGGAAAACTAGTGAGGCAGCAATTCGTGCGTGTAATAAGCCTAACACGATTGCAAGTAGCCTCTGGTACGAAATAAGGATAGATAATACATTGTTTATCTTAATACAGGTAACGTTTCAGAAACACTCAAGCTGTTTAAGAATAAAGTCTAGTTTTTATATGGGTATAGTGGGATTCTAACCCTACAAACGACAACTTCGGCCAGTGGCGCGTTTCAAGACCCGCAAAACTTTGCTGCTTATTGGTTGGAGGGGTGTACCCGTGTTACGTGTAACATCGGCTAATGGACCGACAATAACGATGAACTGCTGTTGTTGTCGACAGGCAAAGCGAACTCCTGAAACACTGATTGGCAAAGATTTATATCCAGTTAACTTTTCAGGATGTTGTAAGACCTAGCAGATCCTTGAGTTTATCTCAAGCCAACTCAACCACATTTGCAGTCGATGTTGACCTTGTAACAAGGTCACACAACCGTTTGATAATATAATTATTGAACTTACACAGTGTGTTATTGTGACTTGTTTACGTAAGTATTTAGTATGGGAGACACTACATGATATCAGTGATACCATACCGTGCCAGTTATGATTCTAGATGACGTGACAGTCATCTAAATAGATCTGCATATAAAGATTTTTTATTTAGTTCTAGTGTAGGGTAGTTAGGGTAGGTCATATAATATTTTGACTGAAAGCATAAAGTAAAGGTCAAATCTCATGTTGAGTTTAAGAGCGAAAGCCTTTAAGGATTGTTCTCTTGAGTCTTTGACCGTTCAAATTTCATTAAATCCTGCAGTTCTCTGAACTGCTAAGCTTCAAGCTTGTTCACTGCAAGTCTCTCCTAGTTCTATAGAGCAAGTAGACTTCTTCAGTCGCTTAATTAATTCTGTTGAACTAAGTGGCTATTAGCAGCTCTGCCGGTTCTGATGTTGCTTTCACAACGGACAGCTAGGGCGGAGATGCCCAGTGCTTCCGAACATGTAACATCTACGGATGTTACCTTGCTGCTCAGCAGCTTAAAGCTCAGCTTCTTCAGCATGGCTGAGGTCCATGGGTTCCGACCTGTTTGAGGCATTTGAATTATACCAAGGCATACCATAGCGAGCAGATTTGAAATTGAACTCAGCGTTAAACGCTATGCTCACTGCCTCTTCGAAAGTCGAACGAAGGCTGGACACGAAAAACTTCTGTCGTGGCGACCCCAGTACGAAGACTTTCCATAAATAAGATCACTAGGACTTCCTCTGTCAGAGGATCCTGCTGCATAGCAACATTAAGAGTCCTCAACTCCTTGGCATAGTTCGAAAATTCTTTCTTACCCTATCGGGTAGCTAAGAAGTGAGAGCGCACACGATAAGCCTGATAAGGCGGTGCAATCACGCAAGTTAATTGCTTTCTAAGCATATACCACGTCTATGGCCAGATCTCCACCCGAAAACGATCGCCACCCCCAAACTGGTGTGCTCGTCACGCGCGATCTACCGATGAATTTTTCCACCGGATCGCGTATCTTGCTCCCGTCTACCCGAATAATCCTTCCTCCCGTTACAGCTCGTCAAAACGCGATCTCGTTGGTTTCTTCACTGTATGACCGCCTGGAAGCCCACGATACCATCGTGGAAAGTTATCACTCCATGGAAATTGCCTTACGGGAGCAGGAATTTCGTGGAAATCAGCTGGAGACCGAACTCAATTCGTATCACGAGTTGGTGCCTCGACTGTGCACATTCGTCTTGCGTCGAGATGAAGAGTTGCGTCAACAACTTGATGCCGCTCTCCACATGGCCGAAGGTCTCGACGAAGAACTGAACCAGCTAACGGATCAGTCTCAGGAGATCGCAGATCTGAAGAATGCCTTGTTTCGAGTCAATGCAGAAAAACATCGCCTGCAGGATAAATTCCGCCGTGAGGCGGCCAATCTTCAGCGAACTCTGAAAGGAAAATTCCGGCAGCAGATCGCGTCCCTCCAACAGCAACTGTACTCCATCCTTGCACAGCGTAATACGGCAGACAGTGCTTTGACCGCTGACTTTCGACGCATGAAAAGCAAGGCGTCCAAGTACAAGAAAGCTCGCTCTCAGGCCCAGTAAGCCGCGAAACAACTGCAAGAGACGTTGGGCGCGCTCGAGCTTGATCATGATCGCCTCCTGAGTGCGAGTATTCGGAATGACGCAGCTTTGGGTCGACTTCGTACCGAAGTGGCAGATCGAGAGGCGGAGCGCGATCTGGCCATCCAGGATCGAGATTTACTTCGTTCGCATCTGGCAGAGTTGGCTAAGGGCTTACTTCCTTCTTCGACTAGCCTTCTCGCGCTTTCCAATCCTTCGTCGCCCAATCGCAAACGTGCATCATCTTCACCGACTCTGGACGTTCCCTGTAAATGTCCCCGCATCTCTTCCGGTACTTCTGCTCAATCTGCGACCTCGGAGAGATCTGGAATTCCACCGCGATCTGGTACCCTGACGCGATCTGATACTTCAGCGCGATCTGGTACTCCGACGTGATCTGGTACTCCGGCGCGATCTGGTACTTCGGCGCGATCTGGTACCCCAAAACGATCTGCCAAGTCGGTGCGATCCGTTATTACAACGCGACCCAATGTTCCGTCGAAAGCTTAAGGGAAACGCAAAGCGTGTCCCTCGCCTTCGCCTGACTCTGAGTATGACGGATGGTCTTCCGATCCCGAAGACGCTACACTTGCTGCTCTATCCGGATCGCGTTCAATCGAGAGACGTCGCACCACCATGACGAAACTCTCTGGCAACACCGGATCATCTCAGTCCCCTATTATAATTCACAATGGTAGACCACCCTCCAGAAAATCACCAGTCTCGAGTCCTGATACGCCCCCTAGCCTTACTACCAAGATTTTTACGGTCGACCTTTTTGGCGAACCTTCTAGCGACTCGGACGGAAAGATTAGCGTTTCCAGTGACATTCGTGATGATAATAACCCGTTGCTCACTCCCGCTCAATACGCCGATCTGCCGGATCTCCAAAAATCACGTGATGCATGGATCCCTGGATATCGTGAGCGAAAGCCCCGATCGTCGATTCAAGTTGCTCCATGGTCCGCCCGACGGGTCAGTCTAACCAGTGTTGCAGAATTGGGAGTGTAATTCTTCTATCAACACTTGTCTCGACCGAAAGGGTATCTCTTCACCCCTCAAGCTAATCCCAAGTCTCTTGTTGATTCTGAGTGGATTCCCCGATTGATCACCCCGGCACAAGTTACTGCGCTTTACGATCAGAAACCGTGGAACGTCACTCGTCGACCGATTACTCCCATCTCTTTCCCTCTGACCGGTTGCTTCAACGATCTGGCAGACATTTACCTTGAATATGAAGATCGACATAGTCAAGCCATGTGGGAGGCAACCCACTTCCTGTATATCTCCCGCGAACATCGGAAGGAGTATCCAGAGCTTGCGCAATTTTGTCAGCAACGCAAGCAGCGTCGGTCGAGATCTGGACCCCGCTTAAAGACTATTCTTCGCGTTACTCTCCAAGGGATGGTCGAAGGACACTGCGATCTGGACATTTTGTTGGATCCATACTTCCTTCACTTTCCCGTGTACGCAGAAGTGCGACCATGGTATCCTGGTCTGGAGTGTGAGAAGAAGAATACCCCTAACCTGGCTACCGAGCTCTCAATGTTGGACTCCGCCGAGCCGTAAAAAAATCAGTATCGAACTTCGATTGAAGATCACCCGGGATCGCTAATCCCTCGTCTGGCCAATAAGGTTTTTCCAAAGTGACTTCCCGCGATCCAATCTGGAGTAGCACTTCGCGATCCGATTTCCTTTCTTCAGCATTCGTTACAATTTCACTGTTTTCGTTTCATCCTTTTGGTTGTTCTTGCAATTGTCGTCTTATTTTGGGCCTTTTCAGCCGTGATCTGGTCTTTCAGACCTTCGATCGACACTCATATTCACATATATCTTAGTTCCTCCAGCTATACAACCATCTTGTACAGCCATTTCCACTCTCCATAAGCGTAATAACCAATTCACTAATCTTCAGCTTTTTCCTCTTCATGAGACTGCATAACTTCGAAACGATTACGGCGAGCTTGTTCGCGCTTAAATTCCTGCAACAATGCTCCACAATTCAGATCAGCCTCATCAACCCACGATGGATCGGTATAACCTTTCCAGTAAACCTTAAATTGACGATGTACCCGACCAAACGAGTTTTTCTGCCGGATTGCATATCTTCAATCTTCTTTACTTCAAACTCGTTATCCCAAGTTGCCTCTCCCAGCTATCCTCCGGCAGAAGTGCCTCATCGAAATCAAAACGATCTTCTTCTTCCACCGTCAACAACTGCTTCGGGCGGTCGGAGATTACTTTTACACATTTCAGCTTGAATATATGCACGATCGGGAATAATCGATACGGCGTGCCAGCGATCTCCAGGCGAACAGCGTGACCACCACACACTTCGCACACTCGAAAAGTTCCATGCCACATATGTGCTGATTTTCGAGCAAATCCTTCCTTCACTCGATCTAGGTACAACCAAACTTGGGTATCAGGCTTGATCTCGTGAGATTGTAAATTTTCATTATGCTGATCCGCTCGAGTCTGGATAGCCATTTTTAGTCGCTCATTGACTACATCTCGGTCTCGCTGATAGTGTCGTTGCACATGATATCGCCATCGGCGAGGTTCCCGATCTCGTGGATGAATACTTCCCAGTGTCAACGTAGCTTCCAACGTAGATCGAGAATCCCATCCATGGATCAAGTAAAAAGGCGTGTACCCACGAACTCGATCTTGTGAGTATTTATCGCGAATGTCAGCCGCTCAGCATACTCGTCCCAATCTTGTTGATTGACGTCCGAGACGTACATTT